CACCTACATTGACCATCACCACCACCTTTACCAAAAAAATATTTGCCGCGAGTGTTTTTTGAAGGAAGTCCATTTTTCAGCCACTGTTTGTGCGTCCCCATGTCACCCACTTTCCAAGTTCTCCCTTGGCGCGGATCCCCCCTGACCCCCGCTTGCGGGGGGGGGGGGAACCACATCCGCGTCCACACAGTACGGACAAGGAAAGTGGGTGAAACGGTGCACAAACAGACTGTTTGAGTGTGTCTTCAGAGCCTTCTTTTCAATGCTCCGTCTCACTCGGTTGCTACTAACTCGAAATGTTTTTTCGGCATTTTTTGAATTCGGGAACCAGACCTAATATTATCCCAGTTACCTATTTACTATAATTTTAATTTGAATATGATTCGAAATAGAAAAAATAAATCTATTTTAAGAGGTGGTGGTGGTCAATGTTGGTCCCTTTTACAAATTTATTATAAATTTGAAGTGTGCACTAATATTCTTATTCAAATAAAAATACAATAAAAATACAATATAAAACACGAAAAGAGAGACATTGGGGCGTTGTTTTACTTTTTTTTTAAATAGAAACACAGACAACATAATTTCAAGAAGTGTTGTTTAGTTCTGTTTTCTCAAAAACGAAGAATCGAACAAGTAATGGGCATTGAAATCATTATAAAATCTTAAATATAATTAAAATGACATACAAAGATCCATTTTGCTCGTATTTCTACATCGTATAAATAGATTATTGTGTTATTTATCAATAATAAATACAAAATATATAAATAGAAAGAATAAACAATATATAAAGCAAGAATTTAAATATCAAACACATTAATTAAAGTATGGCGACACCAAGTTTAACTAACATGGTAATTATCTCGGACAATTTATGTGTTAGACCAAATGGGGTCTTTTTTGATCATACAAGATTAAATATCAAACAGCTTAATAATATATGTATGAAAACTTTTATGAAAATGAAACACACAATTAATACTAAACATGTATAAAATACAACAATGTTGTCTCTGTTAAATTAGTAACAGATTACAACAAATACTCTGTTTAATGTGGTAATAATAATACACTTAAGAATTATTTGCTCAATTTCATTCAAACAACAAAAGAATTGAAATAAAAATCCACAATATTGAAGGCGTCATAGATAAATAAGAAACAAATTTCTTGAATATTTCGCTCTTTTCTTTATACTTACCAAAAGAAAACTAAACTCCTTTTCCCATTTGGTCACAAAAAAACAATTTCATAATCAATACACAGGTTGTTTCTTCTTTTTTAAACATCGATTATATTAACCACATAGCACTCAATCAAACGTAACGCCGGCTCGAATTGGGTCGGCAAACAATGTAATCGAAAAATATATCCGCTTGAAAATATGTATTGCCAATGTGACTCTTTTATTAATTTAAAAGAGTCCCTCTTTGTTGTACAAATTAAATTAGACTGTCGAAA